TGGGTTATGTTGGGTGAAGTCGGCAAGTTTGAACTGCAATTGGGTGAATCCGAAGGGGGTGCAGCATTGTTTGCCTTGAATTCACAACCCACCTTGATTAGTAGGGTTATAGAGGCACAGCGAGGGGACCGCGAAGTAGAGTTAATTCGTGATAGAATCTCCAATGAGAAGGAAGAAAAGGGTTTGAACATTCACTCGGATCAGAGTGTACGATACCTAGATCGTCTTTTTGTGCCTGAATCTTGTAGGGAAGAAGTGCTTCAGGAGTTCCATCACTCACGCCTTATGGTACATCCGAGAGGCACCAAAATGTATCGAGACCTTAGCCGTCAGTTTTGGTGGAGAGGTATGAAGCGGGATGTCGCATCCTTTGTGTTAAAGTGCCTTACTTGCTAGCAAGTGAAGGCCGAACACCAGAGACCAGCGGGTTTGTTACAACCCCTACCTATAGCCAAGTGGAAGTAAGAGCACGTTACCATGGACTTTGTAGTTGGGTTTCCTAGAACGCAACGGGACAATGATGCCATTTGGATTATTGTTGATCGGTTGACTAAATCCACACATTTTATTCCTATGCGTACTAGCAATTCAGTGGAGCACCTGGCAGAATTATACATTAAGGAGATTGTTTGGCTTCATGGAGTTCCAGTAACCATGGTGTCGGATAGGGATCCTCGTTTCACTGCCTGATTGTGGCAAGGCCTTCAAGAGGTGTTGGGAACCAAATTGACCTTTAGCACTGCATATCACCCTCAAATCAATGGGTAGTCGGAACGTACTATACAAATTTTGGAGGACATGCTTAGAACTTGTGTCCTAGATTTCAAGGGGTCTTGGGAGAGGCACTTACTGTTGATTGAATTCACCTACAACAATAGTTATTAGGCTAATATCGAGATAGCACCGTTTGAGACCTTATATGGCCGCCCCTGTAGGTCACCAGTTTGTTGGGCCAAGGTAGGGGATGCCCCCTTGTTGGGACCGGAACTTGTTAGAGAAACAACCGAGAAAGTTGCTCCCATTCGGAAGAGGATAGCTACGGCCCAAAGCCGATAGAAGAGTTATGTCGATAAGAGGAGGCGACCCTTATCTTTCAAAGTGGGTGATCATGTGTTTCATGTGTCAATGCTTAGGAAGTATGAACCCGACCCTTCTCACGTGTTAGGTTGGGTTGATTTGGAGGTAGATGAGGATGCCTCCTACAAAGAGCGGCCGGTTCAAATCTTAGATACCTGAGAACAAGTATTATGAGGAAAGACCATGCCTTTAGTGAAGGTGTTGTGGAGGCACCATGGGATTGAAGAAGCAACTTGGGAACGGGAAGCGGAAGTCCGCTCCAAGTATCCGGACTTATTCGGGCGTTTAATTGTTTTGTTTTAAACTTGTAATGTCTCTTAGTGTTGAATGGAAAATGTGTTAAAATGATGATCTCATGTTATTGTATGTGTTATTAAATTAAGAATGAGCTTATGGAAGAATGATATTTTGTTGTAGACGTTTTGACTCATGTATCTAGTTTAAGAAATTGTGTTTTGATAGAATGATGAGGAAGAAAATGATAAATGTTGATTAATATAATGGTTGCGACTTGCTAACGTTGCCTAAAATGATTATGCTGTTAGAAAACTGATCATCGTTGTTATGTCTTATTGACTATTTTAGTCTTTTTTATTTTTGGGGTGGGGTTTTTTTTTTTTTTTTTTTGTGTGTGGTGTAAAAGTGGGATCGGGGTGGATCCCGGAGATGAATAAAAAATGGGTTGTTGTGCAAAGTTGTAAATTGTTTGTTTGTTTGTTTTTTTTTTTTTTTTTTTTTTTTTTTTTTTTTTTTTTGTTTTGTTAATAAAATATATAAATTATCGGGGGAAGGAAAACGAGAAAGAAGATTGGTTTAAAAAATAAAAAGAAGTATGAGTTGGTGCAAAAAAGTGGGGGATGATGGGGTAAAATAAAAGAAAAGAAAATGATGGTGGGGTGCAAACTTTCGGTGGCTTTGTAAAAGATGGAGTAAAAACAAATATAAAAAAAAAAGAAAAGAAAGTGGAGAGGAACAGGAGTGCATGGATGATGTGATATAATAATAATAGTAATAAAAAAATAAAAAAGTTAGACCGATTCTCCAAAAACCCTTTTCTCAATCACACCTTCTCTTCCGATTTCACCAACTGGGTCACCCAAATCCAACACTCCTCTAAATCTGGGTAGTCCCAAAAATCCTCAAGTTTGCTGATATGCTCTCCCTCTCTGTGAGATCTGTGAGGTACACTCGTGGATGCTTTATTTTTCCTAGAGCTCAGCCTTTCCCTCATCGCAACTTCTCGGAAGAGGTAGCTGTCCTTGACAATTATTTTGGCAAGCTTGGTTCGGGCAGCAAGGCTTATGTGATGGGTAGTGATGATAAATCACAGAAATGGAAGCTCTGCTGCGGCGATGACTGATGTCTCTGGTATTAGGATGATTTTTCCTGATTCTGAGATATGTGACTTTGAATTTGATCCTTGTGGGTACTCCATGAATGCTATTGAAGGGGCTGCAATTTCTACTATTCATGTCACACTGGAAGATGGGTTCAGCTACGCTAGCTTTGAAGCAGTGGGATATGATTTCTGATTTTTTGAATTTGAATCACCTGCTCGAGAGGATCTTGGCTTGCTTCAAGCCAACTGAGTTCTCCATTGCTATACATTCTGATGTTGTCGGTAATGATCTTGGTTCCGATATCAGTCTTGATGTGAATGGATATTTCTGCGGAGAACACGGCGTCACAGCCGAGGGGAGTGACTGGGCTCTGAATCGTCGGCGAGGACGAGTTACGGAGAGAGGTGAGTCCGAGCTTGATCTCGAGCTTCCTCATGGTGTGCCTCCTCTCCTGGAGCTTGAAGGGTGACCGGCGAATGCCGGTGGCGTCGATTGGGTTGTAGGGTCTGAGAATAGCAGTGTTGCAGAGAATGAAACAACTGGAGAGGAGGAGGAGGAGGAAGAAGAGAGCGAGAGAGGAGTAGAAAATTTGGGTTTGTCCGGCGGACGGCCAAGGCGAGGCTGCCGCCCGCCGGGTTCGAAGCTCTCGGAGAAGCAGAGAGGTTGTAAGTAAACAATGTAAAAAGAGAATTGTATTATTGATTTATGTGTATATTACAAGATTGTTGTATATTGATTTGTATGTTACAAGCTATTATATAGGAGAGGTGTGAGGTAAGTGAGTGGTGGTAGTGGATGGTAGTGGAGGTGGTGGGTGGTAGTGGAGATGGTAAGTGTGTTAGGTTTAGTGGGGTGGATGTAGTGGGTTAGGTTAGTGGGTTAGGTTTAGTGTACATTAACAGAAATAAACATAATCTCAGAGAATATAGTTATCACAAAGTAGAGTCAGAGAAATATAGTTATCACAAAGTAGAGAGAGAGAGAGAGAGAGAGAGAGAGAGCATGGACTAGTTCAAAGGATGGGTGGGAAAATTTGGTCCAGAACACCCAAATAAAAAGCAGATGATGGATTATGAACTATACGTTCTTCCATATCATCCCATTCTGTACTGTTCAAATCCATCAAAAGACAGGACTACTTGGGAAAGATCAAAAAGTAGTTCACATTACAATAATCGCGGTGGATGATGTCAGAAGCATGGAGGTAAGTCAATGCACTGGCTGTTTCTATGGCAATGCTCATGCGGATAGACCACACGAGTGGTCGATCCTTTGCACGATCACCATGTATATGATCAGCAACAGTACCATTAGGAATGTACTCGTAGACGAGAAGGAGTTCCCGGCTCAGTCGAGAGGTGCAACCATAAAGGGTGACAAGATTGTGATGGCGCAAACGTGTGAGGATTTCAATTTCATTCATGAACTGAGTCACTCGCTTATAGTTGTGCTCGTATAGGCGCTTGACTGCAACTTCCCGCCCATCTTTGAGTTTTCCTGGTTGAGAAAAGATCAAATATTGTGTCATGGGCATGAGTAGTGTGAATATAAGAATATGAATATGAACATGCTAATTACAAATGTAAATGTGGTAATTTTATGAAAGATAGAACTGTGAACCTTCTTACCATAGTATACAGTGCCAAAACCTCCATCTCCCAATTCCTTAGAGGGATCAAAGTTATTAGTAGCTTCTTCTAATTCAGTGTAGGAGAAGACAGGGACCCCAAAGTAGACACTACCTCCTTCAAGGTCTGGTTTAGAGGAGGGATCGGAAGACGTGTTGATTGAAAGGACGACTGAAGAGACATAATTCAATTTCTTGCGATACCGGATAGCAAGCAAGCCAAGCAGAAGGATAACTCCAGGTATGACTGAAGAAAGAAGTGTAGTCAGGTTTTGATTCACTCATTAATACTCATGAAAGCAACAATAAAAAGCAAGGGGGAACTGGGGCAGCAAAAACAAGTTTTGATAGACTGAAGTTGGTGGATGGAACCCATCAAATTTGAGAACATGTGATGAATGTTGTATATGAATAAAGAAGAAGTTTTAAAACATTCATGTAACATGCATACATCTATATTTACTCGTGTGTAAAGAAACTGATCAGAGGTATATTACCTGTTGCTAGAATCACTTTCAAGTGACTTCCTGCAACCAATGTCAAGGAGAAAAACATCAGTTAGCCATGTTTAAAAGCAGAATTAATTTACCTTCTATATTTTAAATGCTTGAATTTAACTAATGGAGAAAAACAACACTTCAATTTAAAACGCACCAACGTAATATGAACTGGACTGCTAGAGAGACTGAAGATTTTGGATTCAATTTGTGTGGTGGATTAATACAGAAATAACAGCATGCAAATGCAGAAATACCAATACCTTCATCCTTTATGCAAAGGAACTCTACGAGGCCACGACATTGGCCTCCATTATGGCGACACTCGGTACATTCCTTTGACACATGCAACCCAATAGTGAATTCATAAGCCCATAGTGAAAATAGATCACTGACACTTCGATTCCGGATTGATGGTAGCATTGGTAGTTGAATAGCTACACAGTCAGATGAAAGATTGGCAGGAGTAGGAGTATGTTGATTAGGATCTGTATAGTAGACAGTGTAGCCCGGGCAGTTGCTGAAATTGTAAACTTCTGTCTGCAGTTGAGGTTTACTACTGTTGCTGTATGTAGGGCATTTGAACAAGGTGAGGTTGGGAGAGATTGTATAGGAAATAGAAGGAGTAGGATGGGGAAGAAGCAAGGTACTGAAAATGTCGCAACTATTAGAGCTTATGAGTTTGTCTCTAACATTTACAGCTTCATCATTCAAGAATTCCTTAACTTCATACCGTTCTTCTATCCACCAGTAATGGAGTTTTGGTACTAATTCGCTACAATTGACAGTACACAACCCACATCGGGGATATGTGTCGTTGGAGAAAGGGAATTTGATAGGCCCAAGTTTTCCACAGTTGAAGGACTGTGGACAACCATGTTGGTTGTCGTCTTGCCCAGTAGAGTGAACAATCAGTAAATGGGAGACAACAAAGAAAGAAAAAATGGAAGGAAAACCCATTCGAAATACCCAATTCAGCAAACGAAAACAAACCACCATAGCATAGAGGACAGAAATGCTCTTACCAAAAATACAGAGATATTTTTAGTGATTGTCAACCACCATAGATTGTTTCTCTGGTAAACACGCCAGTTGACTCGGAAAATTGTTAATAGAAGACTTGCACAGGAGCAGACTTAAAGAACGGAGCCAAGTGCTGCTACGATTTGTTCATTGAAATGGAAAGTTGGGCCAAAGACAACCCCATAGAAGGAGTTTCTTAGACACTTACCTGATAGACCCACAAGAACTGTAAAGTCTTTGACCCATTGACTAATTCAAACTCTCTCTCTCTCTCTCTCTCTCTCTCTCTCTCTCTCTCTTCGTTGATGCTCAAACCCTAACCCACGTCGATTGCCTCCGTCGTCGACTCTAGTTCCATCGACCTCTCCCTCGCATCCATCGCTTGCCAATGCTGCCGTCGCTAGTCTCGTCTCCTCCTCCACGTCTGGCTTCACGTTGGTGACTTCGAGCCTAACTCTGCCTACCGAGACCCCGACAACCCCATCGTCGTCGCCTCCGTCATCTTCGAGTTCTCCATTGCCGCTGTTGTCCTTGACTACCTTATCGCCGCCATCTTTGTATATATATATGTATGTATGTATGTATGTATGTATGTATATATATCTTGACTACATCGAGGAGTGTCCGTATGTCAGTCCTTCGTTGGGGTTCGTGGTTATGAGGGTGGATTAGAGAGGAGGGCTCTCTCTCTTCTCGCTCCTCGTCATCTTCTTATATATGTATATATGTATGTATGTATGTATGTAAATGGGGTGCATATATCATATATGCATATACATGTCTAATTTAAAAAAGAGAGAAATTAAAATAAGTATTATGTTTTATGCATGGTTTTTAGAAGACAGTTTCAGAATTTGCTTGATGTGAATGTGTTTACTCATATTCAGGCATTAAATTATACTACATTTAAATTTTTAATTGAATTAGTTTTGGGTAATTAGTTACAAATTATGCAATAGAGAACAGAGACAGAAAAATAAGAGAAAAAAAAAGACAGAGAATCAGAGGGGTATTAAGGTCAGAGTATGTTTTTGGGAATCGAAGATGATGATCTGGAAAACATTTTTTTTAAAGCAATTGTTGATTATTTGTTGTTGAACAAACAAATTGAACTCCAAAAAGTTAATTTTTATCTTTTATTTTTTATAGTAGTAGTAGATTAATTTTTGTTGTTGTTGTTGTTGTTAATGATGATGATGATGATGATGAAACAGGCAAATTTTCAACAATAGAGAGAGAGAGAGAGAGAGAGAGAGAGAGAGAGAGAGAGAGAGAGAGAGAGAGGTGACTTGAGTCTTTGCAAGACGGGATGACAAACAGAGAAAGGGGATGGATCTAGGGGTGAGCATGGTCCGGATTGGTTCAGATTGGGACAAAATCAGAATCAATCCATTATTTATGGTTCTTGAAAAATTAGAACCAGTCTAATCTATTTATATCATGGAACTAATCCAAACCAATCCATTTAAATACGGATTGGATCGGTTTAGGACCACAGATTCATATAATTAAATAATAGAAAAAGTATAGAACATTTTAATTTCGTAAAAATATAAACATAGCATCATATTAGTTTTACAATAGTAACATGTCTTTTTATAATAGCGACATACTATTCTAGAATTTAAACAACCATAAGAAAACTGGTTCCACCATAAGTATTTAGACCATTACAAATTACAACTAAAAACCAACAAACAAAAGTAATAAAAGAAGATGCTATGCGGATTTAGGTTTGGGTTTTGGTTTAGGTTTTATATGGAATAAGAGAAGATACTATGCAGGAGGGTGTATAACATAAATATAGGCTATTTGTATACTGTCCGGATTGGTTCCAATCCGGAACTGATCTGTGGGCTACGAATTTTTATTTTTTCGATCCGGAACCGAACCATGGATTAAAAAAACTAACCTAAACCAACCGGATTGGATTGAACCGGATCATATTATGAATTTCATGGATTCGTTACTTAGCCCTAGATGGATCATGATGGAAGATTCCAGAGGGGGAATCTCAACCATTGGATTATTAAAACATTAGACTTTTGAATATTTAATGTAGTTAATATATTTTTTTTTAATTTTTTTTTGTAGTGGTATGTGAATGGTAGGGTGAATTATATTTATATATATTTTTAATTTTTTATATTTGTCTAGTCAAGTAGAATGTAAATATATATATATTTCCAAAAGGTTTAAAAATATCATAAAAGATAAAAAATAAACTATAAAAAATCACTCAGAAACTTATATTCAAACATTACCTACAAAATTAGAGGAAAAGTTTGTTGAGATTTGCCAAAATGGCATGTGACCATTGGATTATCATTGTTATAATTTGATAATTTGGTATTGTAGATTGTCAAATTATAATAATGACAATGTTATTATAACATTTGTCATTGTAAATGCTTTTAAGGCCTTGGTTGGAAACATAAGTTTTTAGCTATAAAACGAAAAAAGAAAAAGAGAGAGAGAAATGTTTTGGTGTGCAATGCACACCATATGTTATCCTATCATAAAATTATGTAAATTTTCATGAATTTACATTATTAATCTCACAAAAATGTGTAAGTTGAATACAAATTTACGTAAGTTTTTGAAAATTTAAGATTTATGTAAATTTGTATTTAATTTATGTAATTTTATAGTGGAATTGCATACATTATATATTACATAGTAGAAAATTTTCCAAAAAAAAAAAAAATATAAATTTCTTTATTTTATATATATATATATATATATTTGCATAAAAAGTTAAAAAAATACCGGCTATGGCAGCTCTTCCCCCCTCCTCACGCTGCAACAGGCAGCATGGTAGAACTCTTCACGCAACAATCCACCATCTCAATCCATTTGTTAAAGAATTGCAGCACAACATGGACACATTAAAAAAAATGCATTAGAAATTCAAAGACCCATGTGTTTGAGTGTATATATATATATATATATCTTCTATACTATTATTAAAAATGAACAACTTAGTATCATGAATTTTTTTTCCCTCTTTCTACCAAGTGGTTTTTTCTTTTTACACCGTGTCAATTTTTCTTTCCAAAAAGGAAAAGAAAGTGGCACAAGACTTGAACCTAAAACTATTCACTTAACTTACTAAAGAATACTTTCATCACTTAAACAATATAAAAAATATATTATGAATTCAAAATTAAAATTTACATCTTAAGGCTTATATCCTTAATATGGCTATGTTTGGCATGAGTTTTTTTTTGGCTATTTTAATCATAAAAAGACAAAATATGCTAAAAAATTAATAAGACAAAATGTCACATCTTAATCATAATTATTTTATTTTTTCTCTCAAAAAAGCAAAAAATTCATCTCAAATGAGACTTTTAACCCCAGACTAAAATAGCAAAAAAGTCAAAAAGTCAACCCATATTCCAAACGAAAGTATATATTGCTAAGTTCCAATCAATAAAGAAATGCAGCGAAATCCAAAGATTCACCTGAGGCGATTTGTGCGGTTTGGTCTTGCTCACATATCTCTCTCAATTCGCGATGAATTAGAGATTTGAATATGGATTTGTGGTGGTGTTGGGGTGGGTTTGAATGAGTCCGAATCATCTGCCGCCATTTCCTATGGCCTTTCTTGCTGCCAGCCAAAATGACGTCGTTTTGGTTTTTTTTTTCTTTCTCCTCCTTCTTACTTTGCTTTTCAGCCCCTTTTCGTTTTTGAACCCTAAACCCTCTGAGAGATCATTTTCCCTTATTAACGAGCTAATTATGTGTTGATTTCTTGATTCTTCGTTTGCTTCTCGTGCTTTCTCTGTCCTCGAAACCCAAAAGTTTCTTTCGTGGGGAAAAAAGTATGCAACTTTACTCTAATTGGAATGATTTTGATTTGTATTTTGCTATTTTTTGGCTAATCCCCTGTTTATTTCAAGATTTCTACAAAAAAATTTCATTATCTTCATCTGGGTTTACATGATTACTATTTCAAATATTCCTTTATTATCAAATTATAATTGAAAAAAATATTGTCGTACAACTCTATTTGTACGATAACTGTTTGTATTAAAAACTCGACTGAACCGACAACCTGCTTAAACTACCCGCCCATTGGACCATTAGGTTGACAACAATATTTCTGTTTGGTAACGTTTACGTTTTCAGTTTATATTTACAAAAATTTTATAAACTGGTTTTTGTTTATTTTTAGAAAAACATAAACTACAAACCCGTTTGGTAACTGACAAAATTTTTTTTTGTGTGTTTTGTTGGCAGTGGACTGGTGCCCTTGTTTGGTATAGGTCTAGATATAATGTTTAAGGTTCAACACATTCATGCATAAAGATTGGGTATTATTCAAGGAAAAATTCTGTGCAGAATCATAGACTTTAAAAATCAAGAAACCATATCAAATGGATGAATTTTAATCTGAAATTTTTACAGTAGATTAATTACATATTGAATTGCATATTTGAATTTTTTCATAATTTTTGGGATTCAAAATCCGTATAAATTGAGGTATTCAAATCTGTTCAGGAAACCAGTCCGAAACAGTAAATTCGGGAGAGTTGTTCTCCTTGGGTATAAATCCAAAAATTATCAAATTAGTGTCATTAGAACCGGTTACGAGTCTAGTTTCGTACGTTTTTGTCCTTGCATTGATTTCTCCTGTATATTAAGAGAACCGTCAATTTCTTTAAAGTGCTGCAGAAAACAACCTGTTTGGATATAATAAATTGTAGATAATTATTTTGATAAGCAAATCAAGTGAAACTAATTGGGTTTGAAACGTAGGATATATTAAATCATATCTGGAGGTTATTGGAATTTTTCAAATAGCGTGGAGTGGGTTTTGTAATTTTCAAAGTTAGCGAATAGATTGGGAAAACTTGTTTAAAACACTGTTTTATCTTAAAGTTATTTTTAGTTAAGTTTCGATCGGAACCTATGTCTTGGGTGATTTTAGACCTTGAAGAACATGAACTTAGGTAATATTTAAGAGTAACGGTGAGTTGGGTTGAGCCGTGTTAGTGCGCTTTAGTTTGGGGTTACTTAGTTCGTGTTCTTTAGTATTTTTAAATTAGTAGTGACGTGTAATTTTCATATTGGTTCAGGGCACTAGTTGGACTTTCATACTCTATTCGAGGATTATATTATTTCATTTCCAGGTGAGTAGTTTCATGCTACGCATTTTTATGAATGTTCCCCTACCCTGAACTGTTGGAAAATTAAATTGTTGTTTTAAGACTAAACTGTTTTGATGAATTATTATATTATCAATGGAATCAAATTATTTCTGAAACATGTGTGAACTTG